TAGAGGAGTTCATTAATAAGAATTATTAATAGGGAAATTTCTAGCTCTATTATTACTAATAGAACTACCTAGGATATAGGGATGAGGCACTACTCTTATATAGCCTTTACTTTTTCTTTTTAAGTCTTAAGTTACTCTTACTTTCTTATAAGAATATCTATAATAATATTCTCCTTTCCTAGTTAGTAGGTAAACTAGACTTAGTACTTAGTAAGTTATTTAGCCTATCTTACTTATCACGCGGATAGTTAATGCTTAGAAGTAAAATATTCTAATACCTAATAGTCTATAATTATAAGAAAAGGTTTATAAAGGCCTATAAGTATAGATCTCTATTCCTCTAGTCCTTATATAATAGCTAGGAGTTCTTTATTAGGTATTCTATAGTAGAGTTTAGCATCTAATATTACCTTAGAATAAAAGGATACTAGTTTCTATTTATAATTATCTTAATATTATAAGAGAACTCCTATAACTACTCTATTACTTATATCTATTTCTATGTAAGTATCTAGAGTTAGATTATAGTTTACTAGTAGTAATTTACTATATATTAGTTTCTTAAGGTTTCTAAAAGATTCTTCCTTAACTAGCCTAAGTTATTACTATTTTACTTTTAAATATAGTTTCTCTAGTAGCTAGCTAATTTATCTATAGTTAGGGAGGAATCTCTAATAGAAGTTATAGAATCCTAAGAAAGACTAAAGAGATTAAAGGGTTATAGGTAATTACTAGGTATAAATAGGTTTAATTTTTTACGGGTCTATTAATATACCCTTAGTAGAGATGATGTATCCTAGAAATCTTATATAAGTAGTTAAGAACTTACTCTTTTTTATATTAGCTTATAGTCCCACTTTATATAATTATTATAGAACTTTAAGGACGTATTAAGTATGTTCGTGCGGGTTTTCTAAAATAATAAGAATATTATCTATAAAAGTAATAATAAAATCATCTAAATAGTTAAAGAGAACTTAGTTAATAAAATATTAAAAGGTAGTAGGCCTATTACTTAGCCTAAAAGGTAACACGCAGTATTTAAATAATCTATATCTTATATAGAAGGTAGTATATTCTTTAGACTATTTTTAAAGGTAGATCTAATAGAAAGCTTACTAAATGTTAAGTTTTATATAGACCTTTCCCTTACCTACTCTCTATAAGAGTTCTAAGATAAGAGGTAAAGGATATAAGTTCTTCTTTATCTAATTATTTAACTATTAGTAGTTAATATAAATTTACTAACCACCTCTAGGTTTTTTTACTACTAATACTAGAGAGGTATAGGGTGTATAGCTCTTAGTAATAAATCCTTTCTTTAAATTCTCCTAGATGTATTCCTTTACTACGGCTAGCTATTCTAGGGATATTCTATAGAGGGGACTTATTAGTAGGCGTGGAGAATCCTTATGCGTAAGAGAAATTTAATAATTAACTCCCGCATAATAGGGTAGTAGCTAATTAGATTCTTATTTTAAAAAGATATTATAGTAGTCTTTATATTTAGAGGGTAAATAATTATTAAGGTATTTATTAAAAGCTTCATCTTTATTAGCTTTATTAATATTATTAAGTATAATAGAATAAAGGTCTACTACTTCTATTAATGTTTTTATAGGTAGGTTAATTTCTATAAGAGAGGTAAAAAAGGTTTCTTAATTATTAACTTTAATATTATTAGAGATATATATTAATAAGACTAAATAGTTTATCTATAGATCTTTACTTCATGCGGATAATTTTAGAATATTTAAAAGATTTAAAAAAGAAATTTAGTCTAGAGGATCTAGCTAAATAAGTTATTAGTTATAGTAGTCTAGGAGAATATAATAATATGTAAGGAACTAGTAGCCTAGAATAATATTATAGCGCCTAATATCTAGTATAAAGGTGTATATTATAACTAGCTAATATTAAAAATAAAATTATAATTAATAAATAAAATTAAGTTTCTTATTTATATATTAGTTAAACCTAGAGACTTTAAGGTTCCTACTAGTAATCTTTCTTTTCTTAACCCCTAATTCTCTAAGTTATAGAAGAAGTTAGGGGTATAGAAAGCTAGATCTATTTACACCTATATCTACTAGGGCATAAATAGGTATAGTATAATTACTAGCTATAATTATAGTTTATATAGTAAATAGGTATCCTCTAATAAGGTTATAAATATTTACCTATAAACTAGTAATTTATAGGGCTCTAAGCTTAAGTCCTAGGGAGGAGACTTCCCCTAAGACTTATTATTTTCTAATAAAGAAGAGTATAGCTCTAATATTATACCTTCTTCTCCTTCTTCTTCTATTATAGTATCTACTATCTTTACTTTAGTTTCTAGGCATTATTAGATAAGATACCTAAATTTTCTATATTAATAGTAGGGTCTAATATTACCTTAAAGTTCTACTTTTCCTTTATATATTAGATTTTCTATTATCGCGTAAGGAGTAGATCTCTATAATAGTCTTAAAAAAGGCTGCTCTCTTAAACTTCTACCTATTAAAAGAGTAGATTTACCTACTTATTCCTATTATTATTTCTTTAAGTAGTCTACCTAGGATAATAAAGATATATTTCTACTATTTTAATACTTAATTATACTTTATATAATAGGGTATACCTTTTAAAGGTATTCTTTAAATAAGATATAGTTATCTTATTTAATTCCTACTAAATAAGTTTATAGTAGGGAATCTAATAAAGAGTAAAAATCCTCTTTCTATTATTTATATAGAAGATTAGCTTCTAAGACTAGGTATATAAACTCTAACTAGAACTTCTAAAGGTCTATAGGAATTTAATAATAGAGGTCCTTTAGCTTCTTCTTTATATCCTTTTACTAGTATAGATTCTTAAATACTTACTTAAGCTAGTAATATAAATTAGTATTAAGGACTAGATTATCTATCTTTATGTAAGTATGTAGAAATAGTACTAGATACTATACTACCTTACCCTATATCCTAGAAAGGATGTAACTTATAATAGCTTCCTTAGTATCTATAGTAGTACCTCTCTTAAAGTGGTCTTTATTACTATAGATTTTATTATTTATAAGTAATTACTAATACTTATATGTGGGGGTTTAGCTATTTATTAATTTAGGTAGGTTAGGCACTCTTAGTATATATTTCTTCTTCTTCCTAGACCTATTCTCTTCTAAATACTATAAACTTATTAACTTAATAGTATCTTTACATAATAATATTTAATAACTTATAATCCTTTCTACTAGGTTAAGGATAACTTATTTAAGAGCCTTAATTTACATCTTTATATAGACTATAATATCCTATGTTTACCCCTTTATAAAGGAAGTAATCTTAGATTAATAGTTATTAGCTTCTTCTAGTAGAATATGTCTAAAAGCTTCTTTAACCTAAAATTATATCATATAAAGAAGACCTTTTTCTTATAGTTATGTATTAAGCTTAACTAGTAATAGGGAATAAAAAGATTATAATAAGAAGAGGAGTACCTATCCTCTTCCTTCCTCTAATTTATAAGGTAACTTAGTACCTCTATGTAAGGGTATTTATTATTAACTACTAGACTCCTCTTAAGTACTAGTTATATAGGCTTAATTCTTAGCTATACTATCTATACATAGAATAGTCTTCTACTTTCTTATAAGTAGGTATAGGGAGGATACCTCCTTAATATTTATATACTATACTATAGTCTTATAAAGACTTCTATAGTTAATATATACTTAATACTCTTTAGTCTTTAGATAATACTAATACGCCTTACTAAGATAACTTAAATTACCTTCTTAAATAATAGGTAGTTATATGTAAGGCTTAAGCTATATATATAGTATACCTAGTTTAGGTATTCTAATACCTCCCTTAGGTAATAAAAGAGTAGGATGGGGATAATACCTAGAATAATCTTCTATATCTATTATAAATTATTAAGTAGCTAATATATAGGCTTTTACCTAAAGGCTATCTACTTAGTTAGATATATGTAAAATTAAAAGAACTTAATTAAAATTAAGTAGAGAAGAGATAAAGTTAAGTAAAGTCTTATTAATTATTATAAATATAGAAGATGCTATGTACTCTACTATCTTCTATATATATTTATATAAGAAGTAAAATAAGAAGTAGAATAAGAACTAAACTCTTTCTTTACTATATAAATTACTACTTTAGTTATATTATTATAATAGATAAAAAATTAATCTTCTTATTATTACGCGAAGTCTTATTAGCTATTAAGTAGGCTATATATCCTTAGAAGTATTTATTATCTATTAGTACTACTAGCTTACGTGGCTTAGTTATAATTAGCTATAGCTAGTTAAGTAACTTTAGCTTATTAAGTAATTACGTAATAGTATAGTTATAATATACTTATATTACTAGTATCTAATAGTTATTACTATGTAATAGCTATTATAATAACTAGTTAAAAACCTTACCTACTTTTTTTACCTTTATAGGTACTAAGAAAGGTATTATATAATACTAACTAAGAATAGTACTATTAGGAATAGTACTAGAATACTATAGTAGAGTATATATATAATCTACCTTACCTACTACCCTATACTATATTTACTTTTCTATATATATCTTCTTCCTATCTCCCTTTCTTTCCTTACTCTTACTCTATACTACCTATCTACTTAGATAATAGTAGGAAGGCTAGTTCTTAGCCCCCTCTTACCTAAAAAGAGCCTAGATAAACTATCTATCTATACCTATCCTATACTAATATTATACTAAGAATCCCCTTATTATATAAGATTCTTTAGCTAGGTATTCCTACTTACCTTATAAATATATATAGGATTCCCTATAGATAGCTCTATCTTAGATAGCCTATAGCTCTAGTAAGATGTAAAATAATTAATTAATTAATTAATTAATTAATTAGTAAGATGTAAAACAATTAATTAATCAATCAATCAATCAACCCCCCCCCCCCTAAATCAAATATTATATAGTGTACATTTTGCGGTCGAAAATTTAATATTATACATCCCATCTTCCGTGGCGCAATTGGCTAGCGCGTCTGACTGTTAAGTTTCGTTAAAGGAGACTGGCTATCAGGAGGTTGACAGTTCAAGCCTGTCCGGGAGAGATTTCCTTTTATTTTTTCGCCTCTTTTTTTTTTTTAATGCCCCCTTCGTCCCATGTCCCCTGTCTCCTACCCTTTTTCAGTATTTAGTTGGAAGGGATGGTTGGGCGCGTTGGGTTTTTCTTTGTTGTTGCGCTTTGGTTTTCTTTCTTTCTTTCATTTGTTGGGTGGTTGGTTGGTTGCTGGTATTGTCGTTGCTGTTGCGCCGGCGCTGAATGCGTCGCTTGGTCGTGTCGCGCTGGAGCAACGACGAGGAAACAAGCGAGCGAGCGAGCGAGCGAGATGCATGAGGGGCTGGGCTGGCTTTTGTGTGTTGATGGTGTGTTTGCTGCGAATTGTTTACAAAAGCGCTACCGTAACTCGCGTTCTGGTTGCGCTGGTTGTCAGGACTTTAGAGTCTGTACATATGGTTGATTGTAAATGGCTTCGTGTTTGCAATGCATGTTGCTTAGGTATGTGGTTTTGTAGCTGGCACACTCCCCCATGAACTTGGCTTGGAGCAAGGCGCATTTTCCGGATAAGGCGCCAATATTTTTGCGCTCGCAGCCCCAAAAGCTCTCGTTGCCGTTGGCCTTTTGTCCGTCGCCGCCGCATGTATACGCCCCCGTCCCCTCATCGAACACTTTCACTGCTGCTCCCTCTGCCTCCACAGCTGCTCGATCGCCAGCCTGGTTCCCTCGACAATGGCGCCCCACTCCACCTTGTGCAGCTTGTCCTCAAAGTCCTCGAGCTTGTCGTCCTCGCCGGCGACGAAAGGAATCTCGCGCGTCAGGATGGGCGTGCCCATGTCGACCTCTTGGATGACGTAGTGCACCATGACGCCGGTGCGGGTCGTCTTGCCGGCGCGCCAGTCGGCGTGGGCGCGGTCAATGGCGTGCGTCTGTTGTTTGCGCGTCAGCGTGGTTGTTCCACGAAGAGAGAGGGAAGGTGGGGGGGGGGGGGGGGGGCTTCATACGCCGTTGTACTCGCCCGGCAGCGCGGGGTGCAAGTTGATGATGGGCACGCTGGCAGCGGCCAGGGCGTCGAGGAGCGGTGGCGTCAGGATGAGCATGTAGCCTGCGCACACGACCATATCCGGCTTGTCGTCCAGCACCAGCTTGGCCAGGTCCTTGTCAAACTCCATGCGCTGCTCTTGACGCGCGAGGTCGGGGAAGCGCTCCTTGTAGGGCGGGAAGCCATGGTATTGGGTCGGGATGCCAGCCTGCTTTGCGCGCTCTAATCCGTAGGCGGCCTTCTTGTCGGAAATGACGCGCGCGATGGACGTGTTGGGCAGACGGCCATCGCGGGTCGCGTCGATGAGGGCTTGGAGGTTGGAGCCGTTGCCTGCACGTGGGAGCCTGTGAGCGGAATGACGTGAGCCAAGGGCGGAGGGCGGAGTGCATACCGGAGATTAGCACGGTGAGGCGGGTGTGATGGCGGTCGACCATGGTGAGAAGGGGCTGGGCCGGGGAGACATGGTGGTAAGGTAGTCAGGGAGCCGAGCCGGTGTTGAGGGCAACGAAAATGACTGGAGCGAGCGAGCGAGCAAGTGGGGCGTGGGGGAATGGTGCTTATCGGCTTATCGCCCAACGGGAAGGTAATGTACCTTGACGGACAGGCGAGGCGACTGACGACGAAAGCGAGGGCGACAGGACTGGCACGTTCAATGCAGCCAACAAGTCACAAGGCAATATGTATCTATCCTCGACGAGAAACAAACGACGGGAATGAGCTGCTGACGGCGGCGCGCGACCAGACCAGATTGCCTGGGTGCAGGTGCGCCGGTTTGGGGCGTCAGGTGATGGCTTGACCCGTGACGGCTAGGCTCCAAGCCACATAGTGTTGACCTTCCGCTACCTGCATGTACCTTGGCCACTCCTCCAGTCAGCACCACCCAACTTCCACTCACCGCCGCCCAACTCCACTCTCCCATCCTCAACCTCAACTTCCCCTCTGCATCAACCACATCACTCAAACAACTCAACCTACAACTCCTGCACCATGCGTTCCAAGTTCAAGGACGAGCACCCCTTCGAGAAGCGCAAGGCTGAGGCGGAGCGCATCCGCCAGAAGTACAACGATCGCATTCCCGTAAGCACCCCTCCTCCTCCTCCTGCTGCCCCTCACCCTCGCTCTTCTAACCCGTCGCTCGCCAGGTCATCTGCGAAAAGGTCGAGAAGTCGGACATCGCCACCATCGACAAGAAGAAGTACCTGGTCCCGTCGGACCTGACCGTTGGACAGTTTGTCTACGTCATCCGCAAGCGTATCAAGCTGTCGCCCGAGAAGGCCATCTTCATCTTCGTCGACGAAGTCCTGCCGCCCACGGCCGCCCTCATGTCGAGCATCTACGAAGAGCACAAGGACGAGGACGGTTTCTTGTACATCACGTACGTTTCGCGCGTTCCCTTGCTTTGTTTGACCTGCCCACTACGCCGCCGCCACCACCTCCACCCATGAGTCACAACAACCGCGACGACGCTTGCTGACATTTGTCCAGATACTCCGGCGAGAACACGTTCGGAGGCTTCGAAGCCTGTTGATCAACCCAACAACCTCTCCCTCCTGCCCCTTCTACGGTCTCGGGTTCACGGCACGGACGAACTACTTGCGGGGGTTTTTGATGGCGCTGACAGACGGCGTTTTGCGGGTCCACCGGTGATTTTCTCATTTTCCATTTTCTCGGGTTTCGGGGCGAGTCGAAGGGTATCTATCCACACAGACAAGACTCGAGCGACAGCAGCTGCAGCAGCAAAGCCAGGGCGCGCGCGTGCGTCTTGTTGCCGACGGACAGACGACTGGGCAAATGGAAGCGCGGCACATGATGGTCAAGCCATGCGAATGACTGACACCATAGCCGCCGCGTCTCGGCACTCGACACGATGACGACGTCGACGTCTCCTCTGCGCTTTTCGTTCAAGTTGGTTGCGTTGTTGATGCGCGGAGGCGACGGATGATGATGTTGGGGATGGTCTCTCCATAGCTCTGAATGCACACACTGAATTCAATCAGAATGTTGGATAGGCAAAGCAGCAGTAGCACCGGAGCATAATGCACTCAGTCAGTCTCCAAGTCATTCAGTTAAATCGCCTATCACCATCTTGCCTTGCACAAACCACTCCCGAGCACCTAATCAGAGTAGTAGAACGAATGAATACCACATGGGGCACAACGGCAGCAGTCCGCAGTGTCGGTCGTTATGCCTCCTGGGTGTGACTTGTGACGCCACTTTTCCCAACGCTCCAGTCTCTCCGGCCCCCCCCTTTCGGCGCCCTCTCGTTGATGATGGTCGTTTGGTTGGTCCCGTCACAAGGAAGCATGTGCGCGTGCGGCGAGTAGCAGGGCATCTGAAACTATCTCTGCCCTACCCATCGTGATATGAAAACCTACCTACCTGGTCAGGAACAAAGGCATGGTAAACTAAACTAACGTGCGATGTTCTAGGTATAGGTTAAGGGATAGGTAAGAAAGGTAGGTAGGTAGGTAGGTAGGTAGGTAGGTGCGTAAATGGGTGCAGATGCATGAGTGCCTGATGCGACAGAGATGACGGCCACCTCTTTGCTCTTTGCTTAGGTAGGTTGCTGGTTCTACCTTTTTGCGTGGTAGCAAGGAAGCCACAGGCACAACAGGCACCGTGCAGGCACATGGCTACCAGACTCCAGTCGCGACGCACCCTCCCTCCCTCCCTACATCCATGTATGTATCTGGATTGGATTGGATTGCATGGTGGGCAAGGGTGAGGGTGAGGTTAACCGCTAACGACAACGGCGAGCGCGTATTTATGGCTCTACCTACCTACCTACTTACTAAAGAACAATCACGGATAAGTGGGTACATCCGTGTACGTAATTAGTCATGTAATAAGGGGAAGATATTATCTTATTCTCTATAACTATCTACTTATATAACTACTTTATATAACTAGAATTAGGTAATTATAAATATATCTTATTAGTTTTATACTAATATTACTACTACTATACCTTAAGAGATATTAAAGATATTATATTAAGCATATATAGTAGAGTTATCTTAGTGTGATTTACCCCCCTAGAATAGAATAATTCTAAAGTCTAAGAGATATAAGAATACTATAAAATGAAGTTATAGTCTAGCTAAAATAGGAAATACCTTAGTAATACTAAGGGAGGGCCCTCTAGGCCCCTTAATTATCTCTTATAAGGTCTATAAAGCTAACTTTACCTATACCTTTATCCTCTTATTTAATACCCTTAAACTAGCTAACTACTACCTAGTATCTAGTCTAGGTATAGGGCTAGTAGGTAAGAATATAGCTTATATAGGCTCTCTTAAGAAGAAGTATCTTATTATTAGAATTTAAGAGATAGCTATAGTTAATCTTACCTAGATAGTTATTATAGTATAATCCCTCCTAAATAGGGTTAAAAACTAATAAGGTATATAGGTATAAGATAATAAGATTATTAAATAAGCTAGCTTAGTAGATACTACTCCTAAGGACTTATATATAGTTTAGTTTCTTATTATAGTAAATAGACTTATATAGGATAAAGGCTAAGTTAAAGGTATAGCTAGTCTTATAGTTAAGTTTAATAAAGGTAGAGAGGACTAAGGAGAGGATATTATATATCTACTTTAATTATATAGGGTCCTAGTAGGCTCTATATAGCTAGATGTAGTATTTTCTAGTAATAGAGGTAAAGGCAGCCTAGATAGCTACTCTATATTTAAGTATTTAGTACTTAAGAGGTCTAAAGATAAGGTTATTAAGGTTATTAAAGAGGCTACTACTCTAGTAAGAGGATATTATTAGTTTAAAGGGAGAAATAAGTATGTTTAATAAGAGGGTTATTAAATTATTAGTTATAGGGTTACGCGTTAGTATTATTAGGTTTAGTATTATTCCTACGTAATAGGATAATACTAATATATTATAAGTAGTAGACTACTACTCCTAAAACTCTATTCTAGCTAGAGTAAGTCTAGCCTATTAGATAAAGGCTTTATAGACTACTCTATTAAGTTATTTAGTAAGGCTATTAG